CTGTGGCAACCAGCAGTTCTTCCTAGAACTGCTGCCTTCCTGCAACCTAACTAGGTCATTGAGCAATGACAGTGATGTCTCATCACATTGCTCAATGGCCTCATCTTATTTAACTTTTAATACAAAAATTGGCGCACAACATTTCCCCCCTTCCGGGAAAAAGGAAAATGTCCGTAACATTTTCCGTCGCAACTCTTAAACCTACTTGTGTACATAAATAAATCACAATAATAAAATTAGAGTAACAGGCCAAATTAACGAGCAAAATTCAGAAGTTGATCTTTAATAATATTATATCAATATATCAAACATTTTAACAAACGTTTCGACTCTACTTGAGTCTTCTTCAGTATTACGCAAATATAAAGTCGATCTTACATGTTACCAATTGGAGGCGTAGTTATTGTACAGTCATTCTTAAAACAGTTAAACTAGATGACATATTCCAACTGTGTACCGCCAACACTGCAATTAATTCCGAAAATGTTATCACTTAATAATATCACGCACGAAAGAAGCAGACATACTTACAAACTGAAGTCACAAAACGAACGCTGGAAACAACGAAAAAACAGCCGAATATATATACACAAGCATCTAACACCCCACTACAGTTAAAGTCAAGAAAATAAATAAATACGTTAAAGATTAAAATTTGAATGCCATCAAGTTGTCTAGTAGATTAAAATAGGATTTGTCAAGTAAATCAGTGTCTGTGATTAAACTACTTGTGTCTGTGATTAAACTACTTGTGTACAATTTTTGCATGTTACTTGCACTATCTTTGTATCTTACATATAGTATTATACTACGCGGCATACTTACAGCGCGATGGTCTCGACGTTTTGCGCGCGAGCGCTTCGCCGCTTTTCACGCTGTTCCGCGTTACGCGACCTCACGGCGCCGCGTGCCAATCCTGCTTTTTCTTTATTTTTTATTATTTTATATATAATTAGTACAACAATTACTACTATTATCGTAACACCTGACGTAGTCGGATAGATAAGATGCGGATTTTCAAAAAACGAACTCTCATTTATTTCGTCCGTTACTTCCGTTACTTCTGATTTTATTTTCTCAATTTGTGTTTTATTCTGTGTTATGCTTTCTAACACTACCGGTTCTTCACCAACCGTTCGTTCTTTTGCTTTTAACACCGAAAGATTGAATCGTGGCAAATACGTGTTAATTTGTTCACCGTCCATCACCTTGTTGGTGCGAATCGTTACACTGGACGTCACTAACTTACATTTTTCCGACAATTTTATCTCTCCGACTCCGTTTACAATTTCCGTTGCTTCTTTTCTGTTTTCGCACGATATTACCACCGACTCGCTTTTCGGGGTTGAGTACAGCCATACACGCGCTTTTTCTAGCCTTATCCACATAGTGTGATTCGAAACCACAGTTTCCTCTTTACAATTGGAAAATTCTCCTGAATTACTAACATATGCCTGCACCTCGCATGGTGCGTCCGCGTGTACCTTGTACACCGATTCTATATTATCGCAGACATAACTATTTCCAACGTTTTTACATTTCTCTAACTAACTCACTTTTACAACAGAGTATGTTTGTTTATTTTCATCTACTGCAACTATCTCGAACTTTACTTGTGCCACCTTAAAAACATTATCGTGGTCGTGCACCGGCAAGGGCACTACCCTCAACAAGTCGTATTCTACCGGAGCTACTAGTGGAAACTTGACGACGGTATACACATTTGCGTTTTTACACTACACGCTAACTGTGTGACGTATTCTTTTATTGTCAACCAATTCTCTAGCGTTATGACGAATGGAAAATGTAATCCGTGGGCAGACCAATTATTCGCGTCCTGGAGGCCCTTTATTATTAATTCAACGGGTACCATTTCTAACTGCGCAAACTTCGCTTGTACGTCCGTGACGTAACCCATGATACTTTCCACGTCAAACTCGAGTTCTGTAATCATGCTGCCTAATTCCATAAAATACTCGCTAAGTTCGGCTTGCTGCGCGTAACTGTCTACCTTTTGTGTTATTTTAATTATCGCGTTTTTGAACTTGTTTTCATTTCTTTCTACGACCTCCTCAATGTTTTCTACGTGAGCAATAGTTGCGTTTATAACCTGCAGCTGATTTTTTACCACGTGCTGTAAAACAGCTAGTTTCTTGTTTAACAACTCTACTTGTTCCGAAACTCGCTTTTCGTCTTCGGCATCCATTGTACCGAACAGAATTTTCGCGACGGAACCTAATGCGTTAACCAGCCCCCTTTGACGACGTTTCTGTGTTCCCACTATAGTTTTAACGCGCTTTACTATTTTTTCCACTTTTTGCAATCTTTGTCGTAACTCCGCGGCAAACCCCTCGCACAGTTCTCTATTCCTGCGCGTTATCGCCGCATTTTCGCACGCCTTCGTTGTATAGTCTAACATACGTTCCGTTCGTTCCGTTCTTGTGTATACCGTTGATACGTCCAATCTTACAACTAGTCTCCACTTTTCGCTAGCGTAGAGCATCGTCCCGTATTTTTCGTAGTACACGCCGAAATTGTGTTGAAACTTGCGTATGTGGTATTCTTGGTCCCCGGCTTCACTCCACGCGACGCAGAAGGTAAGTACTGTTACTACTTTTATTAACAACATTTTCCTGCAAGCAAAATGTTTTATTCAATACGCCTTTATACCTTATACTTTATTTTTATCGCGAATGGTGTCGCCTAACAAGTGGAACCGCGAGCGTCGGTCGTACTCCGAGTTTGTTACTCTGTCATCTAAGCTCTTTTTATTATCGGTTATACTAATTCTAGGACTTACATTTGAGTCGTCCTGCTGTCTTTTGTACTTCGGACCATGGCTCTTCACGACAACGAGCACCAGTACCCCGTTCGCCACCGACCAGGTCACTACAATGTTATTAGTTTTCCTTTTCCTGTGACAAGGTTGGTGTAAGTGTTTGGTTTTGGAACTTACAAGTGTGCCTTCTGTTCCAACAAAAGTTTTGTTCTAGTGCTTACCATGTTGCGGTTCATTTATTCGTGCACCGATGTCAGCGCGGAGGAGTCCTCGTACGAGCGCTCAGAGGACAGCTCGTTTCTCTCGAGCTCCGAGGATACCGACTCCTCGCGCCCCAAAACTCCTTCCACCCCCGAGGGCCCGCCGCCGTCACCACCGGGCTCCCCGGAAATAATCTTCGTGTGTTCGCGGCCCCCGCCGCCTGCCTCCCCCAACCCAGAGGTCAATCCGGACAATTCGGACGACGATGTCGTCTGCTTGGGGCCCCCGCAGCCTGTCGTCCACCCCCTCATCGTTCTTTCAGACGATGAGTGAGGCAACCCGATGAGTTCTTTTCGTTTTTAATTTTCTACGAAGGCTTTCAGCCTATTCACGTGCACACTCTGCGTGCGCCGTCCTGCTTTGATTGCATACGTCACGTCTGACGTTTTCGCAATTATCACATAAGGTCCTATCCACTTTGATTCCAATTTCTTAGATCTGCCTCTTCTCAGTGTCTCGTCATAAAGTGAGACATATTCTCCCACGCTAAACGCTGCTTGCTTTGTCTTTTTGTCATAATAACGTTTCACTTTTTCCTTTTTTTCTTTGAGCTTTTCTCGCGCTACTCGATTTGTTGCCCACAATCTTTCTTTTAATTCTTGCGCGTAGTTTTCTAAATTGTACTGTGTAGACAGTGGATTTGTTAAGGCGGTCGGTAATTCCGCGCACCTCCCGTATACTAATTCGAAGAGTGTAAACCCTGTTGCCGTGTGTGGTGTCGTATTGTACGCAAACATTGCGTACGACACCCACTTGTCCCAATCTGTCTGGTCCTCGTTCACGTAGTGACGTATATACTCGGCTAATGTTCGATGCGAACGCTCTAACGCTCCGTTACTTTCCGGATGATAGGCCGTTCTCTGTACTTTATTTATTCGCAGTAACTTGCAAACATTTTTAAACAGTTCGCTTATAAAGTTTGTTCCTCGATCCGTTAAAATCGTTTCCGGAATCCCGTGCTCACACACAATTTTCGTCGCGAACTCCTTTGCTACCGTAGCGGCTTCTTGATTCGGAACGGGTATCGCCTTACTAAACTTCGTAAGACCGTCTTGAAACGTCAGCAGATATTTATTTC